AGCAGCAGCAGCAGCCTGTGCAGCAGCGGCGGGGCCTCCTGCCTTCCTGCCTGCCTCTTATCTCCACATCGTGGTCTTATCAGACTCCAACATCTCCAACCTTTGGGGAGGATGACGCACTGAAGAGAGACAAACAGCTGCTGCTGCAGGGGCCCCACCACCAGGCTGCGCTCTGGAGTCATCGTCACTGTCTCAAAACTTTTTCTCTACCGTTGTTAAGAACCTGAGCTGGAAAACTGATCACAGGAACGCAGTGGGCGGGGCCTGCAGTACACAGCCTCCTGATTGGTGCAGAGACACACACACACTCAGCAGGGCAGGAGAGAGGAACACAGAAGTCAGAATTAGTACCTGGAACTGGGAGAGTACTGGAACTGTGTGTGTTCTGACTCCAGCAAACAGTACCAGGAACCAGAAAAGTACCTGCTGATGGACAACTGTTAGGACTAGTACCAGGAACTGAGGGTTGATTCCTGGGTCGGGGTCACTCCCGGGGACTGCGGTCAGTTCTACTCACAGGAAACTGCGGTACTCGCAGAGGTTACAGCGCCATCTGGAGCAGCACCGGAACTGTTTAGGGTTCAGAAGTGTGTGTGTGTGTGTGTGTGTGTGTGTTGTATCAGTGTGATAATAAAAACATGACCTGACAACTGGGCGACCTGAATCTGTTCCATCAGGATCAGCAGAATAAACACACACACACACACACACACACACACACGTCCTTATCACTCTCACTCTGTCCTATCAAAATGTCGGCCAAATCACAGGAGAGTCACGGGGCTGCAGTTCCACTGGCCTCCACAGCAGCCCAGACCAGGAGCTCAGGGAGGCAACGGTGGAGCGGAGCGCTGATAAAGACGGCCATGCACACACCGACAAACACACACACACACACGTACACACACACACGTACACACAGACAGACTGAGGCCAAGTCCAGCCCAGGTTTATCAGCCTCAGCCTCTGAAGAACATCTCCAGACCACAGCTCTGGTTCAGCACAGGTGCATGCTGGGAGTTCACAGCTGATATAAAGGGTTTATACGGGAAAAGTGGACAACGTTCAGGGAGAGGACAAATGGGAGGGAGGGACAGAGGGGGACAAACGGTGAGAATATATATACATACTATATATATGTGTATATATACAAATCTATTACCATATATTAGCAATAATCAAAATGGTATATACACTGTATTAACAGTGTGTACTTAAATGCATCATATATGTACTGCATATTAATAAATATGCAGTATAGAACCAGCTGTATACACTCTGTAGAAATATATACATAATATATATATATGTGTATGTGTAGTAAATATAGTATATTTATTTTTAAGTCAATGTATTTAAATTCAACAGCATTATCATGGACCATAAAAACACAACAGTCTGCCCAAAAAAATTTAAGAAAAATGAAGTCTGTTTTTTTTTCCACACCAAAGTCCATGGAGAAAACCAGTGATTTTAGCTCAGAGACACAGCAGCCGCTGGTCAACGTTAAAATACTGCAGTCATTGAAAATATATCAAATGTAAACCATCAACAATAACTAATTCAACAGTTCAATAACTAGTGTCAAACATCCGGACTGACTGATGGAAGTCTAAAAAGTCAAATTGATGATCAGACCTTTCCTGCCGTCAACTCATGACTCAGCACTTTATCTCTCTAATCAACTCTAACAGAAACTTTCAGCTTTGTGTTGGCATCAAACCCTTCACATGTTGAACAAGCAGGAAGTCGTTGTCAGGCATGACGAGCAGAGCGAAGAGAGCAGTTGCTGAGATGCAGCATTGAGCTCAAGAGAAAGATGATAAAAAAAAACAAAACAAAAGAGCACCGATCCAATAGTGAGGCGTTATCAGCAGCAGAGATCAGCCGGGCTGGGCCCTATCTGACTCTGCATCTGTGGGAAAAGAGGAGTGAAAACCCAGAGGGAGGAGGGGGGAGGGTGCCTCAGACTGAAAACAAATAAGATCCAATTTTAATCTTTATCTGCCGTCACATCGGATCGCTGCCTTATCGCGGCTCACATCGGCTTTTTCAGAGAAACGCTGGCCTTTCCACAACAGAATTAAACAGGAAACGGCTGCGGCTGCTGCAGCGCGGGGGTTCAGACGGACAAAAGGAGTCGTCTCCAACACAAACAGAGAGAGAAATTAAACACTTGATTTATTTTCACACACACACACACACTCACACTCACTCACTCACAACCAGGAAGTGTTAATTATTAGAAAAACAAAAAGATAAATGAGTTGACGGCGAGGGGAAGAAGAAGCCGCCGAGTTATCGTGACCTCAGGTTCACTTCAGGCTGATTTTATCTGATGCTACGTTCAGGGTCCACGGTGTGTTTAAGGACACGCTCAGAGACAAGGTGTAGCTAAAAGCCATTTGTGGTCTCTCATTTTTAAATGTCTTCAAATGTAACAAAACACAGGAGTTAACAAATAAACAAAAACTACTGAAGTTCATTCAAATTAAAGATGATTTTACCGCCCTTTGTTTTGACCCAAATATCTAATCTAATAATCATACAGAAAAAAATCCCAAAAAAATCTCAAGTAAAAATGAACTTCGGAATAAATTAGCTACTAGCATGATGAAGTTTTACATCTGTCAATACCTTTAAAAATGTAGTCTTTTTTTAATTAATCAAACACACATTACTTAGACTCCAAAAGAAATGAAATGAAATCTCGTAATAAAACAAATAAAAATCACCCTTGCTAAGTAGCGACTAGCCTTTGTCGACAATTGATGAAAAATCATCAGTTTTGTTGGTAAAAAAGATGTAACGTTTCACTAAGTTGTCATGGTAATAAAACGACACCAACGTATTATATTATATTAAGTGTATAATCGTTACGTTGCCACAGCTTGGATCGCAGCAGGTTTTAAATATTGAAAAAGCTGTCCAAAAAACAACGCTAAAAATCAATTTGAAACAAAAAGTTGTCTTCAAATATAAAACAAACCTTGAAGAATTCTGAACTGACAGAGACAGAGCTAATGACAACAACGCGCTATCAACACCACAAAAACACCACACCACAAGTACGGTGTCATCAGCAAATGTTCCCATAGTTGTTACCCCGACAATAGGTCAACAAACACTCCCTCCTGTGGCTAAAACCGTTAAAGAAAACAAAACCGTAAATTGTATATTAAAAAAAAAAACCTGTGTTGTCCTACGTCACACTACAGTATCACTATATATATATATATATAAAAAAATAAAATAATAAAATATATAAATAAAATAAAATGCTACATTGTTGCAGTTACATTATTCAGCACCAGGAGTGTATGGTGGCGAACTTCACGGCATTTTGAAGTAAAAGTAACAGTTTCACACCACTTATTATTTTTTATTATTATTATTAGTGATGGTTAAATAAATAAAGAACTTTTTTTTTAAGAAGAGCATCACATGATACGGTTTTTTTACCGCGATCCTTGACATTATTATCATTTATCATCCCATCACTAACAGTTCCAACAGTGACAGCTAGAGTCAAGTGAAGCGCTATTGAACTTTGTGATTCACACACGAACACACACGCACAGTGACACATAACGGTAGGAACGATAACAGCTGGACCAGTAAAGTGACACATAACGGTAGGAACGATAACAACTGGACCAGTAAAAAAAAAATACCGTAAATTAGTATGGAACTTACGTTTAATCTGCCGGGGTTTGCTCTGCTTCCTCCGGGACATGACGGCTCTTCCCGTAGCCGGGAGACCGCTTTCCTTCTCGGACTCACGGACGGACGCAGCAGCGGGAACGTGGTCCTCCCCTTCCTTCTCCTCCTGCTGCAGCTGCTCCTCCTTTTCACCCAAATGTGTCCTTTTCTTTTATCTTGTCTGTCCTGTCTCCTACAGCGGTGCCTCCTCACTCCGGGGACTCCTCATGACACGGCGGCGTTAGTGTTTTACCGCGGGCTGGAGCAGCACGGGGACGGGTTACCTGTGGCTCACGCTGTCGCTCCTGGTTCCTCCTTCTCTCGCTCCTCCGCTGCTCCTCTCTCCACGGTCACTCCTGTTCGGGCCACCTCGCCTCCTTCCGTCCTACTTCATTCCCGCCGCCGTGGTTCCTTCTCTTTCACTGGCGTTTGTTTCCGTCGCTTCTGTTCCGGGAAAGAAAAAAAGTCAGCGGAGATTTCGACAAGTTGTTCCCGGAGCCGCTGCTTGTCTTTTCTGACAACTTAGTTTACGCCGCTCCGTGGATTCCTGGCTCCGCCCACTGCCCCCCGTCTCCCTCTGTCTCTCTCTGTCTAACTCACTCTCTCGCTCTCTCTACTAAGAGCCACGCCCTCTACGTATGACGTGGCACCGCACTGCTCTCTTATTAGTCAATTCTCGGACAAGATAAGAGAAGCGAGGCTTTTTAACTGTTAAATTTAATTAAAAATATATTTAATTTTAGTTCAAGTAAAAAAAACACAATACATTTAAATAAAATAAATTTAAAAAACGACAATTTTGACTCTGAAAGTGATGTATAAATATAAATAAAAAATATTCGACAATAGAATTAGTATTACTCTCCGACACAAACAGTACAAATACAAAAAACATTAAAATGCAAATATGAGAAGATAAAATAAACAATAAAATCAATGTGTTAGCGTCGAAAACTTAAAGGGAAAAAATGTAAATGAAAATATAATAAATCAAAGGGGTTTTTTAACGTTTGAATAAAATTCATTTTTGTCTTTGATCTAAACTTTAAAATAACGTAAAAATATATTATAGGTAAAAATATAAATAGTTAAAATTAGGGGCGATGAAAATAACTGTCAGGCTGAGGAGTTACTGTTGACGCTGGAACGTTGGTTCAGAGGATCTGCCTCTGCTGCAAAATACAATGCTGCCATCTAGAGGCCACTTTTCAGATCACAAGCGAGTCCTCCAGAAATAACAGGTGTTTTTCTGCTGAATTAATCACCAAATAAAGGCTGTGCATTCTTACCTGCTGGTTGCCAGTTTGATTCCTGGCTGTCTCACTGGTGATGTTTTTTAAACATTTTTAAAATCATTTTAAATGTGTTTTTAAAACGATTTTTAAATCATTTTGAAAATGTATTTTATCATCAGTTAAAATGCTATTCCTGCTTCCACACCACCTTTAGTACATATTTGCCCCTGATCTAATTCTTTGAGGGTATTTATGACCAAGACTGACCTCAGTGACACATACTGACTGATGATGTAACACAAATAGACTCTACACACACACACACACACACACACACACTAATTGTACTGATGCACTTTGAACCTGAACATACTCACAGACACCAAAGTTAAACATCACAGTGAAGTTGTTTGGTTGACTTAACCTGTGACCTGTGGACCTGCTGCCGTTCCACCACCAGGAGTGAAAAAAATGACTCCTTCTCTGAACACATGAGTTTTGATTTACTACCTACGGTGGTCAGTTTGTGTCACTGCAGGACAGACGGTCAGAAAATAACCAGGTTTGAACTCAGTGAAGGACGCAGCAGTGAATCAACGACGGCTGAGATAAAATCACTGGTTTTCTCTATGAGGTTTGGAATGGAAGAGCCGGTGGTTCATAAACTTAAGTTCTATCTCGTGTCTGACCATGAAATAAAAACTGAGAGATAGAGATTTTGAAAATGAACTCAAAGACAGCTGTGGATTTTTATGAACTGATTCTTTTTGTCCTCACAGGCTGCCGTAGAGTGACCAAAATGTCACTAACTGAAGCTTCAAGGTGGTGTTCTTACTGTGTAACCCTTTACTGAATTTCTGGTCCGTGTGTGTGTTAGTGTGTGTGTGTGTAAAGGGGCGGAGCCACAGCTGGATATTTCAGTGGTTTGAACAGTTCTGCTCTTTGTTTTCCTGCTTCCTGTTCATCTCACATAGGTGGCGGTTGGTGCACCAGGTAACACAAGTGCGGTTGTTTGTTAACCACTTACTAACTGGCATTTTACCTACAAAGTACCAGGAATTAACAGTACCAAGAACCACGTTGAGAAGTCATTCATCTTGTGACGTCAAAAACGAATAAAATGAGACATTTGTAAAAAAAAAAAAATCCTAAAAAAACAAAACAAAATGTAAATTTATTTCCAAAGACGTTCACAGAAATGAGTATTCTGAAGGGTTTTTTCATCAAATTATGTCAAAAAAAGACTGTCTATAAAATATATTATTTAATGTAATGTTTTAGTTGATATTGTTTTATTCTTTTTGCATTTAATTTTTATATATTTTAATTTTTTTTATTTTTAGTTATAAATGATTGTGTTAAGATTAGAGATCATTTTACATGTTTATTCTTTATATTTTACACCTAATTTTAATTATTTGTTTTACATTTAAACATGTTTTATTTTATTTTATTTATTTTTATTATTAATTTGATTTTTTTTAGTGTTAGTTTTACAGCTAAGGTCAGGGTTAGGGATAGGCTGTTAAAAAATATGAAATAATTCAAATTTCTTCCTGAGGTCAAACAATGGTTAAAATGGATGCAGAACTGTCTGTTAATAATAAAATGAATGAATACATGTTTTCAGTAGGTTTTTTTCTTGTTTTATTCATTTTTTTCACAGAGGAATGAAAACATAAGCGACACCTATTTTCACATTAAATACCTAAAATCTTCTAAATGTGTTGAACATTTTTTCACAGAATGAGAAGAAGCTCAGAAACTACGAAAACATTCTACCGTAAACCACTCTAGCCCCGCCCCCTGGGAGTGTCCACTCTAGCCCCGCCCCTCACTTCCTGTGGCTGTAGCGGTGTTTTCCGCTGGTGTTGAACTCTCGGCTCAGATGGTTATGCTGGCGCGGGACGGTGGACCGCTGTATGTTGGCGTGTGTGTCGTACAGTGCGTCTACACAGACGTCGGACTGTTTCTTCCTCAGCTGACTGTAGGACGAGTACAGCTCCTCCTGAACCTCCTGAAAAACAAAAATGTTTACGTTTTACTTCGGTTTACAAAAACCTAAAACCCAAATCCACTCTCTTCTCTGCGTCACAACTTTCTATTCTGTTGTGTTAAAATAACGTTACCATTTATAATGCCTTTTGGATCAAGTACCTGATGATGTGAATAACCAGCCAATGAAAATTCAAGCGTTACAAAAAAAAGTCAAACTTAGCAGAAATTGATTAAAATCAATACATCTAGACGTGAGCCACGAACAACACGATAAGATTAGCTCAGCAAAAGACACGTCTAAATATTTTAATATCAGCAGGTAATCATTTCAGTGTGGTGTGTGTTCTCACCCCTGTCTGTTGTATGTTGATATAAATCAGCAGCGAAGCCAACTCCAGATCTTCACTGTAGTCGTTGGTCAGTGGAACAGAGCGATAACCTGAAGAGAACGACGTACACACGGAGACTCAATCGACTCCGAGCTAAAATCACTGATTTTCTCTATGGACTTCTGTGTGGAGGCAGAGTTCATCTTAAATCTCAGGGTTTATCTCATACCTGTGCGAAGTCCTTTGACAGGAAACGTGGCCTGGGCCAGGAAATTGGGTTCAGAGAACATGTCCTCCTCGTTGACCACAAAGCGCAGAAATGTGAGTTCAGGTTCATAAACACTTAAGACCAGAGGCTCGGAGGGAGACTTCCACAGAGGGTTGAGACCATTATCATCTGTAGGGGGCGACGACAACAACAACACTATCATCATCATCATCATCATCATCACCATCACCATCACCCTCATCACCATCATCATCATCATCATCCCCATCATCATCATCACCATCATCATCACCATCATCATCACCATCATCATCACCATCATCATCACCATCATCATCACCATCATCATCATCATCACAATCATCATCATCATCATCATCATCATCACCAACATCATCATCATCATCATCATCACCAACATCATCATCATCATCATCATCACCACCATCATCACCATCATCATCATCATCACAATCATCATCATCATCATCATCATCACAATCATCATCATCATCATCATCATCACCAACATCATCATCATCATCATCATCACCAACATCATCATCATCATCATCATCACCATCATCATCATCACCATCATCATCAGCACCATCATCATCATCATCATCATCACCATCATCATCAGCACCATCATCATCATCATCATCATCACCAACATCATCATCATCATCATCATCACCACCATCATCATCATCATCATCATTGTTGTATATAATCCTAGTCCTAATCCATCACCTTACAGTCTGGAGGTTTAACCTTTTGATCCAGAACATTCTGAACATTAATAATGAGTTCTTGGTTCTTACGGTGAACCAGGGTCTTGAACTTCTCCTCCGTGTGTCCAAACAGTTCTACCTCCACAAAGGGACTGGCGATGCTGCGTCCAGGTTTGGGGAGATGTCTGGCTGCTAAGACCTGCAGGAGACCACCAACAAAGAAGAGACCACCACGGCTGTATGACACTGAACAGCTCCCCCTGCAGGAAGCTGCTTCTTCAATGGGGTACACTAACATTGTCCGCGTGTGTGTGTGTGGGGGGGGGGTTCATACCCTGAGGACGATGTTGAACTTGACCTTGCTCTTCTCCTGCTGAGGGTCGTAGCTGTCGCTGCGCATGAAGTCCGGCTGCAGGATGTAGCCTGACCGTCCATTTAGACTGAAGAGGGCGCTGTTTAGCGGAGTATATTTATCTACAGCATTCACACACACACACAGAGATCATGCAGAGCAGACAGTTATCATCATGACATCAGTGTTAAACGGTGCAGTCACCGTAAACACTCAGTCCTCACCAGCATACAGCCCCGGTGATTTATACTGTCATTTTTTGCCACCGTGGTAATTGATTGTACATTCGTAGTCTTTTTTAAATATTTTCCTAAGGTTTTTCTAAGTCGTAATATTTTAAAAGTGAGATCACAAACACAGACTTTAGTCGAGGTTTAAGGATCTACAAAATACAACGTAAGTATCTTTACTTTTACGAATCAGAACTCGCTAATACTTCACTGACTGAATCAGGTTTTGACGGATGTTTTTAAAAACAGCGCTACCTGCAGTCTGATAGTTCAAAGCCACCATATGACACCCGACAGCCCACAATGGATACGGGTCGTAGTTGGACGACTCCATCCTCTGGGCTTTAGGGTAAATGCGGCTCAGGGCCTTGCGGTTGTAGCGGATGAAATCCTTGGTTCGACATTTTCCTGGAATCTTGTTTTCAACAAAGGAGCGGACTTCTTTGTAGCTGAACGTGTCTGTAAAACAGGACAAAAACTGTTGGTAAATAATCTGAAACGCCATAGTTAGAGATTAGTATGGCACTGAATCTGCTGCTGCCTCCTGTGGCCAGTTTATGTTAATAAAAGTTTCTGTACTAGAGGTTACGAAATTAGAAATTTCAGCAAAATAATGGAGTCAGCAGTGGATGAACGACTGCTGCGTCTCTGAGCTAAAATCACTGATTTTCTCTATGGACTTCCTGGATTAAAAAATGTTCAATTCTGATTTTCTGCCAGAGGTGTTTTTTACTGAGTGAAGCTTTGGGTCTAGGCTTGTTCTAGGCAGCAGAGGGCGCTCACAGAGGTGATCATAGGTCAGTATGAGTTTAAGGAAGATTTCAACATTGGTTTGATTAACTTTCTGAGTGAGATGTGCGAGGTTTTACCGAAGCGGTCCTTCTCTTTGCTGCGCGGCTGACAGTAGACCACCAGGTCGGACATCTCCCGGGCGACCTCGTTCTTCTTCTCCACCTCCACCTGCTGCTTCATCTGCGGTCAGACACAGAGTGAAAGAACATATGAATATAACGACACCACCCTCTGTCGGTGCTGACACGGAGGCTGCTGTGGTCCTGGGTGTGGGCGCAGTTTGGGAGGGATTATAAATGAAGAAGACGTGACCTCAAACTGCCTGTGGTACTGTTTGCTCATCTCCCTCTGAGTGATGACCCAGGCCACCTGGTACCATTCAAACAGTTCCTCCACTGAAGCTGCCGCCACGTCAAACTGGACACTGTTCTGCTGGACGTCCTGGAGGGTAAACACGTGGGGCTTCCCGTTTTTACCGTTCGTCACTGCAGAGACAGTAAGGACATTTTTAGCTTCTCACAGCTAGAAGAAGAAGAAGAAGAAGAAGAGGAAGAAGAAGAGGAAGAAGAAGAAGAAGAAGAAGAAGAAGAAGAAGAAGAAGCCAGAGAACAGGAACCACTAACTGTTCCAGACTAAATGATTTTAGCTCAGACCAAAGTCCATAGAGAGAATCAGAGATTTTACTTGACAGAGACAGAGACAGAGACAGGGTTGGACTGGCAGCTGCTGTGTCTCGGAGCTAATCTTGGTTTGACAGGAAGACAGTGTTGGTTTCGCACAAAAACCATCCAAGCTTTACTCACAGTTCTGGATGTTGCACCTGGAGATGTCCACGATCCCCTTACACAGCTCACCCAGAGGATTGTCCTCCATGTCCTGAAGACAACACACACACACAGTTGGTCCACCGTGTCCTCACTGTCTCACAGTTGATGCCTGGCCTTTTCTTTTCTTTTTTTTTACCTCTGCTCTTGTCTCGCTGCTGCTGCTGCTGCTGCTGCTGCTACAAATGTCCTCCACGTGATTTGACGGAAACAGCAGCTGAATCTTTCCTCCATGGTCTCCTCTCCACCTGTAGGGGGCAATAGAGAGTAAGTCCTGATCTGTGCACGTCTGGATCGGACATTTGAGAGAACCATGACTTCCATCCATGGTTTCCTAATTCTTTTTTTTTTTTGTTGGTTCTACCCAACAGGACAAGTCAAACTTGAACCAGTGTAAAGTTGGTCCACACTGGACCAGGACGTCTCACCAGGGGCTGTTGTCCTTGGTTACGTTGTGAATCAAAGCTCCTTTGGTGAAGCTCAGCTCGTCTGACTGTGCGGCCTGATAACTGTACAGAGCTCTGACTGTTCTCTGAGGCTGCAACACACACACACACACACACACAGACAGGATTGTAAAAAACACATGCAGATGCCACTGCTGAGTCTGACCAAAGAGGGCGCTGTGGGTGGGTACGCACCAGAGGCGGCTCAATCTCGTTTGGGTCCACGTACGTCTTCATCTCGTACAGACTGGCGCAGTCCGTCTCCTGTCACACACGGCAACGAGAGACAACTTTTGCTGTGACTCACAGCTGACCACACACTTCCTGTTCTGACTCAAACACAGCCCCATACGGAACCAGAGGTGTGACCTTGGTCATAACATTTATTAGAAGTGACGTTGAGTGACTGTTGGACTGACTTTTATTAAAGTAGGAATAATTCTCTCTCACCAGAGTCCACAGAGAAAACGCCATGATTTTACCTTGATCTATTGGTGTGTGAAACATCATCAACTTATATGTGAGCTGCATCTGAGACGGACGGCAACACACCTAAACCTTCACCTGAATTAACTTAAGTGACACAAACCTTGTCCACAGGAGGCAGCGGTGGACCCGCAGCTCCTTTTGGACTTTGGTCTAACATTTGTTTTCAGAGACTCACGGTGCTGAAGCGCTCCACCAGCTCGGGGGTGACGGGGTAACGCAGCTTGATCTTGCGGTACAGAGGTTTAGTCTTGAAGTAGTTGACCAGCTCCACCAGACTCTGGAACTCTGTGGTGGTGCCCAGCAGGTACATGTTGCCCTCCTTCTTGATCCGGCAGTGTTTGACTTTACCATCACCTCTGAAATCCAGAGGATTGACTTCAGAACACACACACTGACACACACACTGACACACACCCCAGTCCGACCGTTGGTCCACGTCGGGTGTTACCTGAATGTGATGGCGAAGGAGTCTGGTTCTCCTTCCCTCTGTCGGATCAGGAACGCTCCGTCTCTGGGAATCCTCAGCAGGTAATCCTCCGCCTGACCTCTGGTCAGGTTACTGTAGAACCACCTACAGGACACAGAGAGAATTGCACCTGTCATTTTACACATGTTTTAAACGTCGGCGTCTATCACAGCAGAGAAACATTTCAAGCTTGATTTTTTTTTGTTTTAAAGGAAAAATCCAAATATTTTGAGCAGGTGAAGCAGGTGACCAGAGGAGCCAGTCTTGGTTTCAGACCTTTCCTTCAGGTGGATGTTGGGCTGTGGGACGCCGACCGTGAGCCGCAGCTCGAAGTCCTGACAGCGCAGTGGGTTTTCTCTGTAGTGACTGATCAGAGAGTAGATGTTGGGGAAGTGCAGGTTTGGAGTCAGGTAGAAGTACGGACGCCCCCCGTCTGAGCCAGAACGGATACGACAGTGTTGGACCCGCCCACGGTGCCTGGAAAACACAGACACACAGACGGATCACTGCACCAGTGACCAGTGACCAGTGACCAGTGACCAGTGACCAGTGACCAGTGACCAGTGACCACAGACCAGTACAGTTCAACAGGACACCAGTGACCAGTGACCAGTGACCAGTACAGTTCAACAGGATCGTTGGATCTGGTCTGGATTTCCCTAAGTTCGTTGAAGGACGGACCAGGACGGGGAACGTACCAGAAGGACAGGGAGGACTCGCTGACGTGGGTCTCACTCTCCCGGACCAGGAAGGTTCCATCGACTCCGCCAACGTCTGCGCAGTAGTTCTGAATCAGTCGTTCCGCTGTCACTCTGACGTCCTTCATTCCAGTGTGGAACCAGGGCTCAGAACAGTGCAGGTCCTGGTACTGAGCCCGACAGGAAACGGAAGCGAACAAAGGTCAGAGCAGAATGAGGTTTGAAATGTTTGTTTACGGCTTCATCTCACTGTCGGAGCATCGTCTACGTTTGTTCCTCAATAACTGACTCTCACCAAACCAGATTTTGCCCTGCCTCTGTCACCGAGTTTCAAATCTTTTGTTTTGTGATTTAGGTGTTTGCTGTTTTATAGTCAGATTGGCTTCAGTGACACAAATTGACCACAGGAGGCAGCAGTGAACCAGTAGCTCTATCACAGATTTTCTTAATGGACTTCTGTGTGGGAGAGTGTGAGGTGAGAGAACGGTGAAATTTGATGTCCGATAATATCCACATCTCCAATATGGAAATATGGAAAAGTTAATGTCGGATTATTGAAAATCTAGTCTGTTTGACGGGTAAAATCAACACACGATCATCAGGGCAGTCGTTAATGCCCCTCTCCGACACAGGGTGAATTCTGGGAGTTTAGCCAAATGAGAACCAACATCTTCAACCATTTTCATTTTCAGCCAGGATTGAGACTCACTTTTTTGGAATCTTCTTCCTGCTCCTCCTCTTCCTCGGCGTAGTACAGTTTATCGTCCATGATCACGCAGTAGTGCTTCTTCCACCGCTGACAGACAGACAGAGAGAGAGAATCCAGTACACACACACACACACAGTGATTGACAGTTACACAAACTAGGGGGCGCCAGCACCAGTACCTCATCCACAGGATCCCAGATCTCCAGGTCTCCCTGTTTCTGACCCTTCCTCAGGTCCTTGGTGAATTCTCCTCCTCCCTCCACATTCAGCTTCTTGTGCTGCACAGACAAAATGTAAAAGATATTTACACACACACACGCTCACACACACACACACACACACACTCGTCTACTACCGACCTTGATGATGATCTTGCCCTTCAGCTGCGTGGGGGAGGGCAGCTGCTCAGCCATGAGCTCCACAGGTTCAGTCAGCAGCTTGTTTCCAAACACGTCTCTGAAGATTCGAGCCATCTGACGCTGCTGCTCCAGGGGGCAGTGTTCCTCGATGGACAGGATCAGCGGGTACCTGAGGTGAACCAGTGAGGACCAGGAGAACATCTGCACTGAGTGAGTGTTGTCTGAATGTTCTTCTAGGTTTTGGAAGTGTCTAGCTCAGACATGGGCAAACTAAGGCCCGGGGGCCTGATGTGGCCCGTTCAGCTTTTTAATCTGGACCGCCAAACTTTTCCAAATTATATAATTTATTTATATTATCATTATACTTCTGCCTTTACCCGGCAATACTCACATTTCCCCAATAGATGGCGTAGATAAAGAAAGAAGCAGTTTATTTCCCCAATAGATGGCGTAGAAAAAGAAAGAAGCATTTTAGCATCATTTATCTTAGTTTACACAAACGCTCCGTCTCTCTGCTCCCAACCCTGTTCAATTTTAGGCCCATGAGTCAAAAGGAGGGGCAAAAAGTTTACTTTTCCTGGTCCACACCTTCTATGGCCCTTAGTTTGAGCTAAAATCACTGACTTTCTCCGTGGACTTTGGTCTGTGGACCTCAGTGTTTTTGGCTCTTACTCTGAAGCCACAAACGCGTGGTCATTAATGGCCTTGACCACATCTTCAAACTTGATCTTTGTGGTTCTGGTCCAGCCGTGGTAGATAATGGGTTCCCCTGGTCCTTCCCAGCAGTCCACTAAGTACACACACACACAGACACACACACACACACACACTGAGAGGCAGCAGCAGCAGACTGTGGATGTGTTTTGAGCCGACAGATAACTCTGGTACTGACGTTCCACACAGCGACATCCCAGACGCAGACAGCGCACGTACGCCTCCGTGGACGACTCACTGCGCAGCTGATCCCCGGTCAGATATCTGTCCAACACACAGAGACACACAGAGACACCTGATATACATGGAGATATACCATATACAAAATACTGTGTGAAGATATGTCCTGGTGATTTCAATAACCTGTCGAGTTCCTGTTGAACAATTAAGTACACACAACAAACTACTGTGTAATAACATAGTCATAAACACTGACTGCTGATATCATACTCTGTTATATATGTAGTACTAATTTCGAGTGTCTCTGAGTCGGTGATTGTGTCGGTACTGACGTGTTGTGGGAAGAACTGATCCAGTAGTGGGACAGAGGGTTGTTCATGTCCAGGTTCCTGATCTCTGAGAACTTCTTGTCCCAAACAGAGTTCTCTTTAGAAAACAGGAAACTCAGGAACTGGGAGACGGAGACAGACCAGAGACCACTCATTTTAGCTGTGTATGCATCACCTTTAGATGGCGCCAGAGCCTAAAAGTTTTAATATGTGTCACATACTTCACTGATTGTGAACTCAGGGTCGTTGGTTTTTCTCATGGTGTCGTCGATGAAGGTGGTCATCAGTTCTCTGACCTGTTTCAGATCAGTGGCCCAGGACTCCTGTGGGACAGTGGGACAGTGGGACAGTGGAGCAGAGAAGAGGTTTTTGTCAACTGCTGAAGATTCATCTACACCAAAGTCCATAGAGAAAATCAGTGATTTTAACTCACAGACACAGGACATCCAGCCTACACTTCAGTTCAAATGTATTATTCTGTGACTTTAGTTCAGAATCACTTCACTGACCCAAACTGACCACAGGAGGCATCTGTGTCTCTGTGAGTGATTTGACTATACACAGGAGGCATCTGTGTCTCTGTGAGTTAAAATCTTTGGTTTGATGCCGGATTTGACTATCAACTTGTGATGCTTGTTAAAGCAGCAGGTGGCGCTGTTAGTCCAGTTTTACCTTCTGTTGGTAGAGCAGGAATCGCTGGAAGTCGTGGAGCAGAACCACTGAGGCGTCAGGTTTGTCTGTGTTACTGTGTCATACAGCAAAACACACACACACACACACACACACACACACAGTCACCACTGAGCCAAAAATACTGTTGTTGTCTCAGGTGTTCATAGAAAACAAAACAAACTTACCCCAGAATAAAAGCACAGGACTCCTTCTTGAACTCATCCAGGATCTGGGTTTATACAAAACACAGAAATGTTACAAACAGGTCCAGACACACACACACACACACACACACTGACAGCGATCAACAAGGACTCACTTCATTCTGTTCAAACATTATTAGGTTGTACAATTTATGAAACTGCTCAAAGTCCAGGTGATCTTTCTTCGCTCCCACTTCCTGTTAAGACAGGAAATAAAAAGGCCGAGAACCAGAGTTAGACGAGCGTTCACACGAGTTGCGCTTTACTCAGATTTAAAAGAGCCATGAATGAGAATTGTCATGTGAAGAGAAGCAGTGATCCGGACCAGGAACTTGTCTTTGAGGGCTCGAGTACTTGGTGCCTTGTAGTTGATTAAAGGGAGCAAAGCCTTGAGCTCCTTCATGGAGATCCTGCACACACGCACAGAGAACACAACGATCACCAGCCTGTTCAGAAGTCCATGGAGAAAACAGCTGATTTGAGCAGAAACAGCAGGAGGGGCTACAGGGACACAGGGAATGGGAATCTAACATAATCTCATCTAATACAATGTCACCTAATCCTAATCTGATCCAATCCATTCCCAATTTCATCTAATCCTAATCTGATCTAATCTAATCCGTGAAGAGAATATTTAGAGAAAACACTTCTTTTCAGTTTCTCTGTTCCAGTTGTGGACCTCGTCAGCACAGATTAAGAACTCCTAATTCTACTCTAATCCCAGTCGGTCAGAGGAGACAGCGATGGTTTGTCATTTAAACACACAAACACACAGTTGGTGCAAACCACCCAAATCCCATAATCCCCTCTTGTTCTGTGAGTTTCTCCACAGATTCTGGTCCTGGTCCAGAGGGTGGTTCACTGACCTACCTGTTGGTTCGATGCTGATTGACAGAGTACATCTGTTTCCTCAGCCAGCTGGGACACACACACACACACACACACACACACACACACATTAGTACAGTAGAGAGAGTGATTATTTAGTCTGGGTGTGTGTGTGTGTGTGTGTGTGTGTGTGTGTGTGTGTGTGTGTGTGCAGACCTCTCTATCACCAGGGGCGTGGGCGACGTCACGGCCTCCTGTCGCAGCAGCTCCAGGCCCAGCAGCCATTTCTGAGCCTCCTCTGGAGAATCAGCTGTGAAATGACCAGAACACAAAGACTGACATGAACGCACGGGTTCACACCTCGGCTCCAGTAGAACTGGACCAGAACCAGGGTTGACGGCGTGAACGTGTACGGACCTCCCAGACTGAGGGTGTTGAGGACAAAGTTGGAGCCGTAGAAGATGGTGAAGCAGCAGCTGTCGCTGTGTTTGTCCTTCCCGTCTCTGAAACGGTCAAAGTCTTTGGAGTTTCGACCTGGACGGACCTCTCTGATCTCAAACAGGTCCACTGTGACACACACACACACACACACATATCAGATTTATTGTTGACCTGTGATATAACGATGCATCGTGAATCGGTTAAAAAATAGTCAAATCTGATATGAGCATAAACATGTAATATCTGAAAGAATTGTTATCAGTTTTTCTTTCACCCAGTAACACAATGACTGGGTTTCACCAAATAATGTGTGACCTAAAAATAGATTTTAGGTTTTTCACTAGATGGCAGCATTGCAGCTCATTATATTAATCTATTTTAATAATCAGTGGATTGATCATACAGTGGTTTGTACGAATAAACAAAGAAATATCACCAGACCTATATTCCGGTATCCATACAGTGGTTTGTACGAATAAACAAATACATTTCACCAGACCTATATTTGGTATAAAAAAAAACGTTGGTTGTGACGACAGCTAGTTGTCATTTGTTTTCAAAAAAAAGATTCTAGAAAATAAAAAGTTAGTGTTCAGACCCCCATCCTGCCTGGTACTCACAGACGCCGTCCGTTTTGTTAGCGGTTCGAGTCCAGGCCACCTGCCATGTCTCCATGATGACCTGGACGGTCAGACGCTCGGCCTTCTGCCTGAAGACGGTCATGACCACGCCCATCTCCAGGTCCCGTTTGACCAGGATCTTCTGGTACTCGTTCATCTCGCCCTGCTGAGACCCCGAACGAGACATTGGTGCAGCGGGGGAGAAACTCCAGCAGGATTCACACCGAGGTTCCACAGACTCTGGAACAGAAGGTCAGGAACACACCTTTAATCTGCTCCCACTCCAAACAGCAGCCTGGTACTTAACTGGTCCACCGGTTCAGTTGGACCAGTGCTAGTTTGGGTTTGGCTAACCATTAGCTACTTCATGTTCTTTATGTTTGTTTCTTTTTTTCTGTAAACCACCGTGTCGTCTGCATAAAAGTGAACAGTTGCATTAGACAATCGAGTCCATCGGTAACTGTAGTTAACTGTGGTTAATTGTAATTAACCATGGTTAATTCACTAGTTAAACTGTGGTTAACTGTGGTTAACGTTGAGTTCAGACTGAACCAGAACAAAAGTTTCTTCTGTAGAAGTTGAAGATTTATTTTTAGCTGGAACTTTTTTCAACATTTCACTTGCAAATGAGCAGCAGGACATGAAGAGGAGATTCACAGACGAGGAGGAAGAGGAGGAAGAGGAGGAGTTCTCAGTGATAGAACCCAGAAGAACATTGACAAACTCCAAATGTTAAAACAAACTGAAGGAGAGGATTTTTTTCCCCACATATTTTATTTTTAAATTATGATTTATATATTTGTATTATTGTTGTAATAAAGTTTGACTTAAAATCAAAATAAAAAATAAAATAAAAAACAAAAGTCAGAATGTAATAAAGTTTGACTTAAAATCAAAACAAATAAAATAAAAAACAAAAGTCAGATAAAGGTTCAGAGGAAGAATCGGTTCTTTCCCAGAACACATTTGAATTTATTCTCAAACCCAAACCACAGAACAGCTTCGACTGAAAGCAGTGAATGTGTGTGTGTGTGTTTGGTTGGAAACACATTTCCTCATACTGGTCTCACTGATAAACACACATCACACTGACCTCTGACCTTTGACTACTGGATTTAAAAAATGTTTTTTTTTATCATTTGGAGTAAAGATATGTACTTTAACACCTGAACATTGACCTCTGACCTCACTGTCAAATTTAAAGAACTCCAGGCTCTTTTTAGTAAATGTTATTTTTGCGTTGTTGTCAATCCTACATTGTAAAGCTAACATTATGCTATCCCTTAGCTAACAATAACATGTGTGGACACGACTCGGTCCTTGAGGACGATGGACTCGTCTGTCTAATACAACGATTCACTTTTATGCAGACGACACTGTGATTTACTGAAAAAGGTTTAACTGCAGATCTGAGCTCCAGCTGGACAGTCTACCACAGGGGGAGCTGTGACAGACTGATGCTCGTCCTCATACAAACTCATCTGTAATGTCCGACAGCCCCTGAAGGCATCACCCTGTGTCTTTGTCAATAGACAACATTAGACTAACAACAGCTAAGATTAGCCTATTTTTAGTCTTTGTTTGTTTGTCACCTGACACAGAAGCAGGAAGTCAGGTGATGCCTTTGATCTTGACTTCAAATTACAAAGAAACAAGTTTGAAAACGCAGACGGAGCGAGGTATCAGTTTGACACCCGCAGACTTTCATGAAAAACTTCTAAGAAGAAATGAAATGAAGAAAAGATAAGTTTTCGACAGAATCCTCGGTGACAGGAAAGGCAGCGAGCAGGTGTGAAAACGAGGGTCTGTGTGTGTCTGCAGGGAGTCAAAAGTGAAAGAGGAAAAGTCCATCGCACTGATGTGAGAAACATCTGAAGACGAGTCGAGGCAGAAAACGTCTGAACACAGAGCAGAGAAAAGAGGATTTCCTTCGCCTGACTTCACGCTGACACGACAGCGGCGTCGCTTCACAGACGTGTCCGAAACAAAGCATCAGGAACAACAACGACGGCAGTTTGAACGACTGTGTGTTCTTACCTCTAACACCTGAAGACGTTTCCGTTCCCAGAGCTTCTGGACGGTTCTATCTGCTCATGTTTGGGCCCGCCACTGCAGCTGCTGTGAGGCGGGAGCTGCAGGATGTGGAGGTTTGCAGCCACAGAGCGGTCAGTTCCTCCTTCTCCCTCTGTACGAGGAAGTAAAAGTTCACTCGCTTTAAACAGACAGAGAAGAAAAAACAGGCCGGAAGTCAGGATGGTATCTATGCAAATGAGCCAGGCTTCACACGCCTGTGCACACACTGGGGCACTTTTCAAGGTCCAGCCTCAAGGCCTTCCAGGTGGCGTTTTAATGGAGATCACAGGGGTTTTGACCTTGACCCTTGACCCTGTGGTAACGACAACAATCACTGTAATTATTTAGTGAAACAAAGAGAAACCTTTTCCTGATTTCTTTTTCTTAAACTCTTCATTCTGGTGACTGGGGATCAGTGTGAGTTAGTTTGTCCTCCAGGGGGAGCTATATTAACACACTGATCCAACATGGCCGCCTCTGTCAAGAAATAATGCAGAAAAAAAGTCAGTGAGACTGGGAGGGGTTAGTTTAGTTGAGTTAGTTAACAGTAGTTAGTAGTCTGACAGTTGAAATTCATTCACTTGAATCAATCCGGGGGGGGGGGGGGGGGGGGGGTTGGCTGGAGTCAATCCCACCCCTCCACCCCCCCAGTTGACAAAGTCTGATACAGAATGAAACAATCATTCACACTAACATTCACACCTGTGGTCAGAGTGAACATTAACCAGAAAACACAAAATCACATTTTACTCAACAATATTTTATTTTTTTATATTTCTGGATCACAGATGAAAAACGTGACCTTTCAGTCTGAAGGTCAACCGTTTGTACGGAATAATTCACCTGTGACTCAGCGGTGGGTTCACCAAATAAATTATTATTATTGGAATAAAAATATAAGACCACAGAGGACCTTCAGGTCCACCTCCAGGTCCACCTCCAGGTCCACCTCTGAACCTCCGTCAGGTTTCATTAGAGCAGAAACAACGTTAAAAAATATAAATCACGTCAAACTTTTAAAAGCAGTGTTTTTTCCTTTGATCTTTCGGGGCCGACTGTTGTGTTGAACGTCGGCTTCTTTTTTCATTTTACTGCTGGTTCAGATGGTGTCAGGTGTAACCCCCGCCCTCCAAACCATGCTTCACCGTCATCATCACCATCATCGGTGCTCCCCCTCCTCCTCCTCCTCCTCCTCCTCCTCCTCCGGCTCCCTCAGGCCCTGGCTGTGCAGGGTCTTCCCGGTCATCTCCATGATGGCCTGGACCTCAGGGTCCATGTCCAGGACGCTCCTCTTACCCTGCGCCTCCTCACCCTGGAACACAACAGTTCAACGGTCTGTTAGCAGACAGAAAAGCCAGGTTGAACAGGAAGTGATGTCATCTTAGGTCTGGTGTGTGTTTCCAAATGGAAACTGAAGTTCCCTCCCACACAAAACCTCATAGAGAAACCCAGTGTTTTTTTCTCTCAGAGACTCAGTTGTTTTTTCCACTGCACTCCTGACTGCATCTGGTCTCATCGCCCCCTGGTGGCTGTTTTATTATTTTTTTCAGTATTTGGCAGAGGGTACAAAAATAATTTGATGTTTTACCTTGGAAGGAAATCATGGGTGCTACACAGCTGCCCATAGATGTGGTGTCGACACCTCGGGTTTAATTTTGGCTCATTTGACAGAAAAAAAAACACTGATACAGATACTGAGTTTGAATGTAGACGTGTAGACGTCTTATTGGTTAGAGCTTTTCCAATGAACTGAAGGTTTAAACACTGGTTCTGACCTCTTCTGGTGCTGATGGTTTTCCGACCGCCCACACCTCCACTGAGTCCAGACTGAAATCCTCGTCTGCAGAGAGCTGAGGGCTACCATACGTGGTACACTTGGGCCGAGCTCGACTGTGACCGCGGCCAAAATCACTGTCCAGCCACAGGCCGAAGTAGCCGTGCTGACCTCCCATACCCTGGAGAGACCAGAGAGAAATAACACTGATGAAGCCGGGAGTGGACCAACAACTGCTGTGATGATCTGAACTGAAATCACTTGGTGGTTTCTAAAATGAAGTCTAACAGTGAGAGAAAGATGTGATCAGCTTCTCCAGTCTCCCTCCTGTCACTCAGGGAGGCCCCCTGCAGGTGGTTTAACACAGTACAGACAGCAGTATTACAGACATCGGTACTTCTGTGGTGCAGGTCTCACCAGTCCGTTGGGCATGGTCTGCTGGTTCTGGTTCAGGTACATGAAGTGCTGGTTGTATCCTGTGGCTGTGTACACTCTCAGTTTGGGAGAAACAGTAAACAGGAAACACCTGGAGTCACCTGTACGTGTGCATGTGCACGTGCACAGATATGAAAATGACAGAGAAAAATAGAATTCAAATTCAGACACAGTCAGTGGGTTCAACACCTCAGTGTTAGTGTGAAGTTATTAGAACTGTTTTTGTGGAACATTCACCGTCAGGGTGGTTCTCTCTCACCCTGGAACTCACCCTGGAACTGAGGTTTGACCTCCCAGCTGTGGGAGGCAAAGCCTCCAAACACGTGACCCTTTGAGTCTCTGACCATCAGCAGCGTCGGGCCGCGTTTGGTCAGTCCGCCCACCATCCTGGTGAAGCTCTCGCCATGAAGTTGTGTGGAGAAGACCAGCCTCCAGGGGGCGTTGCACCGATCTGGCAACTGCAAAATATTAGGGAAGAAAATTAGCAACAAAACAAACTGTCGTTAAATCGTTAAAGTATCTGGAGACAGTAAAACAACTGGTGTTGATGATGAGGTTAAATTAAATCGTGGTTGGAACTCAGTTGGGTCAGTGATCAGACAAACCCTGACAGCCCGAGGCGTGTGGCCCACGTGGGTCAGACAATAATCTCTGGACTCCAGTCAACAGTTTCCTGCTCTGACCTGTGGAGCCAGGAACAGGATCGTAGGAAGGTCCAGAAGACTTTGTAGATCTCTCCAAGGCGTCTCCCTGCAGGGCGGCAGCAGAGAGCCGGTAGATCTGCCACCAGGAAACACCTGCAGACCTTCAGCTACGAGAACCTCCAGGTACAGAGACACAGCCGGGACCCTGAAGATCCAGTCCTCCAAACAGGAGACGTCACAACCCCCCAGGTCTGGAGCAGAAAAGTCACTGGTCATTAAACTGTTCTAGAACCGATCATCTCAGACTCTGTGGTCCAGTGGACGTCGGCCAGGTTCCATCTTCTCTTTCCGTTCTCTTTTGGTTTGAATGATTTAATTGAATATTAACCTAAAACACCCAGTAGGTGGCAGTGATGCCAAACATAGGATTCCAAAGTGATGTTAAGTCAAAGAAGAATCCACGTGCAGGTGCATCCTGGGTAAGGACTCACAAAACCAAACTCAGCAGAAACACTGCTAACACACCAGAGTAGAAGGCCTTGAGATGAGTATATAGCACCACCTACAGGTGGTGTGACGTTTGCTGGAGTTAAGTTCTCACCTGTGGGTTTGAGCTCCGAACACATCTGCTCCGCCAGGAGTCGGACACCAGCACAACTGTCAGACATTCTGTCAGGATTCCAGCCCTGCAAGCGCCCACTACTGGCCAGAATCTGTACTACGGCAGAAATCAGGTCCTGTAGGAACTGCGGGAACATTAAGTAGAACCTCATTGGAGGAAGTGTAGAGAGAACAGAGTGACAGAATTCCATCTTCTGTGTGTCAGATCATTTCTCAAAATTAAAGTTTTATGTTCGTTATGACAAATAATTTCAACAGTCTTTTCACCTTGAAAGCAGAACCTTTAAAGTAGAACTCGCTCCTCTCACCTCTGTCACCTGGTCACAGCTGACAGCAGCCACAGGTCTTTCCTGTGACATGGCCAGGACGAGCGGAGCCCGTTCCTCCGCCGTGCCGTGCAGAGTGTCGGCCAGAAAGATGACCAGGTGTTCACGACTGACACCTGGGGTGGCACTGGCAACAGAAATGGTGTCCGTCTTTCCAGAAGCTGCAGGTGGCGCTGCAATATTAGGGTCAATACTGCACATACAACTGAAGAGGCGCTGTATCATGGAGGCTGAGGCCAGGCTGCCCAAGAACGTCTGATGGAGCAAACCGTAGAAGAAGGAGTTAACTGGATGCAGACATATTTTCCTTTAGAATATAAAAACGGTTTAGCTGTTGTTCCCTGATTTTCTCTGTGGACTTTGGTCTGAGCTAAAATCTCAAATGTTCTTCTTCTTTGATCTAAACTGTTTTAAATGGTTGATTAAACATTGTAATAATATAAAAATATGTAATAATGTCAAAAATAATAATTCAACTAATAATAAAATTTCAACTCTGACCTGCAGCATTTCCAAAGTCAAAGTCTTCCCTCCAGAACTGCCCTGGACTTTGTTGAAGACGGCCTCGACCACAGGCCTCTCGTCTGGGCGGAAGCGTGCCAGCCGCTTCTGCACCACCACGCTCTCCGTGTTACCCATGATGCTCTGCAGCAAAAACAAGAAGACAGGACTGTGAATGTTTAGGGTGAGATATTAGAATGAATTGATTATGACTATGGGAGAATCAGCTTTGTTGATAATATTTGGTCATATACAAACATGAACTGTAGGTGGCAGCAGAACACAGACAAATGGAAATGTCTGCGGTGACTCTAACTGTAAACTGAATTAACAGCTTCGGTAAAAAAAAAGTCTTATCTGGACTTTTGATGATTTTCTGACATTATCTCACGGACATTAACCTTATGTCATAATAAAATTTAACTGAAACGACGGCAGCGAGGACATTTCATAAAGCGAACCTGCTGAAAGACGGAGATAAAACGGCGATAAAGCCACACACTGAATCTATTTTTTTTTAAAAACTAGTACCTATACAGTAAGGCCGCATGAATGAAAAAAATAAAGGTTTAAAGAAACCTTTCAGAAAGCAGTAGAAATTCTTCCCCTGAGCCTAAGCTACATTTCCTCGAGCTAAGGCTTCATGTAAACTTCCGGTTGCTGAAACGTAATAGTGACGTCGACCAATCGTAGAAGACGAGTAAGTGAGCGATGATTTTTTACTACTAAAATTACGAATAATTTTACTACATATTATTATTATTTACTACTATTACAGCTAGTATATATAATAAATTAAAAAGCACCATTGACGTTAACAAATAACATTAATTAAATACTTAAAATTAGCATAAAATCCAAAATAATTTTAAGAAACTAATTAATTAAAAACGAAATTAATATAGACTTGTATATGATCTGAATGCATCATACTTTGATTATATTATTTAAACAAACATTATTTACCAATAATAATAGGAATAATTAATGAGAATTAGTATTAGTATGTATTAGTATTAGTATAACTATCAGTATCAGTATTAGTACTGAGCTGTGCACTCTTTTTCCTGAAGACTCATGGAGAGGTTACAATACAACATTTGACCAGTAGAGGGTGCTTAAGAGCCAGGACTGAAAACAGCATATGGGTGAAAGAGAGAGAGAGAGAGAGAATTAGGTCGTTGAAAAAAAACTCCTTTTAAGGGCATGAGTTTTACCGTGTGTGTGTGTGTGTGTGTGTGTGTGTTTAAAGACCGCGGATGAACTGTTGCAACATCTTGTTGTGTGTGAAGTAAAAAGGGAGGAAACACAGATGACGGTGAATCTGGAGCTCCGACAGATTTTCAACATTAAAATAACAGTTTAATTCAACTCCTGGAACAGGACTGTGACGAAGAACTGCTGGTTCGAATCCCAGGACCAGCAGGACTATAGCCCCAAAAACTGCCCTGATGTCTACTTTAGGTTAAACACTTTGGTTCTGTGTGTGAGAATAAAGATTCTTCTTCTTCTTCTTCTTCTTCTTCTTCTTCTTCTTCTTCTACCCCTGTGAGAACATTCTGAGGGTCAGGAGAATGAGGTTGAACAACGACCACAGACGGAAAGTGCTGCTGAATGTGAGTGACACTTCAGGTGGTGTTTTTATCAGGAACCACAACGACACCGACCTTCAATCTGAACACAGTTACTGCTGCTTCATCAAAGTCTGGACCAGACGCCACTCCAACTTCAATCAGTTCCAAACTGTTCTAAAGGAGAAGAACGTCTGTGGACCACAGAGCTGGCACTGTGTTACTGTAAAAGGACATGAAACAAACACCCTTCACTTTCATTTTCTCAGTCTTCACCTTTGTTCAAATTCTGTTTCCTGTGTGTGTTCACACTGCTGCAGTCTTTACCTTTTATGGACGTGAGTGAGGGGCGGAGCCTCAACCAGAAGGAAGAGAAAAGAGGAACTCGCACTAGTTATTTCTCGAGTCCTGACTTGTTGTTGAAGCATTTCTGAGTACTGATGCCACCCCCCCCCCTGCCCCCCCCCTCCCACACACACACACACACAGATCCATAGATGTGTCTGTACCTGCTGAAAACAGAGAGAAGAAGAAGAAGATCCACTGGAAAAGAATGATCTGAAGAATTCTTATTACACAGAAGAACTTCAGAACCACAGATTTGTAAACCACACGCTCTACCACACCAGAGTCCACAGAGAAAACCAGTGATTTTAGCTCAGACCAAAGTGTTTGAATAAAATATGGATTTTGAAAAAAAAAACAGAGCGTCAGCAGAGACGTCTGGAAGACAATTGTTCAATGTTCTGGGACAGAACCCGTGACTGAGTGTGGGCTGTGGAAATATGCTGCCACTGTGAGGAATGCAGGAAGGAGCTGCAGGATGTCACAGTTCAGGAACCGATCCATGTTCTGACCCCTCAACGGTTCCTGTAGTACTCTGGGACAGGACGGACAGCAGGAGGACAAAATCCTCCCAGGAACTATGTGCATTTCCAGAACAAAAACTGGTACGAAACACTATTTTTGTTTCTAAAATAAGGAACTATTTATATTTCTTGAACAGGAACTGGTCTATAACAGTTCCTCATATTTCTTGAACAGGAACTGGTCTATAAGAGTTCCTCAGACCTGATGATGATGATGATGGGGCCTCCAGGAAGACCTGGTACTTTTGAAACCAACTGGTTCCCAACAGACCTGCACAGAAAAACTAGAGCAATGGTTCCCAATTTAGGTGGTGGGCCCCACCTAGGGGGCGCTGAGTTGTTGTTTGGAGGGTGGTTAGTGGAGGGAGAACTGCAGGATCAGAAAAGGACTGACTGGAACTGTTTACAAACGGCAGAGAAACTGATCTGAGTCACCATGACAGGACCTTCATCCCTGTGGAAACACACAAACACACACACACACACACATTGATAATAATGAATAGCCTCATTAAAACTACTTTTTTTTCCCATGTGTAAACAGTGGTGGTGCCGTTAAGTTCTGATGAAGAATCGGTTCCTGCTCCGTCTTCATCTCTACCTGACCAGGGGTTCCTTCATTCACTCAGGGGTAAAACACAAACAAACTGGACTTTGTTTTTCTCACCGACCGTTAACAACAGCGTCTCCGTGGAAACCGCCAGGCGTCCCTCGGCAACGGTTGCTGTGAGCGTAGAGTTGACTTTGAAAAGAACAAAAAGTACCAAAAAAAGTTCCCATGACCTCATCCTTCACTGACAGGAACACGTGGAGCTGAAACATGTTCAGAGGAGAAGTTGAAACACTGAGGCCAGATGATGGCGACAGTGAGAAGAGTGACTGTAGTAAACCTGACCTTTGACCTTTAATCAAAACTGCACTAATCCAGTTTTTCCTAATTATCTCCAAAACCGTTGGGGTCATCTGGGGAAGTGTTAGCAGTCGTTAGTCGTCTGATTGGTCGTTGCACTCCGCATCAGAATGGTTTTGCTCACAAACTTAGCTTAAACAGCTTAGCCACATTTGTAGCTGCCACAGAAAGGCTCCGTTCATAAACATGTTTATTTCATTTCCTTTCATTTCCGAGCAGTTGTTGACATTAGAGTTTGAGTCATGAAAAAAAAAGAGATGTGAAGAGTTTGTAAAAGAAAACTTCAAATTTTATTTTTGAAATGTCTGATTTTGTGCCAGTTTTCTTTTTACTTTTTTGCCTTTGTTTTTCTCAGAAAATCTCTTCCACCAAAAGATAACATTCTGATAAAAATGTTTAAGCCTTAAAAGAAATGAAATTCAACTAAAAAAAGAACCGATTGTTCCCGGGGGAAGAGAGGACGGCGGGAATCATCAAGATGCTACAACTGAGAAACGACTCCCCCTGTCTTCAGGTGAGGGTATGACAATACCACTGCCCATCACATGTAGAGAACAGAATGAATCACAGTGTAGTGTGCACAGACCCCCCCTCCCCCACCCATGGTGGTCCTTGTTGCACCGGAACCGTTTGTTTAATGAGATGAAACCACCAAAGAAAAGATCCCCAAACATCTGAGAACCCAGGTTCTACGGTCGGCCCTGTGTCTAACTGAAGGACTCGGACCTCTGACGTCATCTGAAGAACTAGTAATTGTGCACTCTCCTACTTCTGACCTGTGTCGACAGCAAATATTTCTTCAGACCAACTTTTGGAAAGGTCTGAAATGTGCTTCTTTTTTAAAAAAAATTAAAGAGATAAAAAAAACTCCAGTGTCGTGGAGGAGGCTCTGGAACGGTTTGGGGCTGAATTTTAGTCAGTGGTTTTTGAAACCTGTTCCTGTCTAAGCCTATTTGGGGGTCTAAAACAGTAATTCTCACAGTGATGCCTGCCTCCACTAGGGGGCACAAGAGCACTGAAGTTGAGGCATGAAATGAGGACAAATCGAGGCGGGTGAGTAAACGACGTCGCCGACTGAAGTCATCAGTTTGTTGTCAATGTTTTCATATTAAAACTAACTTCAGTTAGCACTGGTGTCCCAGAGCTAACTGAAGCTAACTGGTGCTAACCCTAAACTCTACAGTCACAGGCGACCTTTTCCGTGAGTTCCTGATAAAATTGTTGCAGATCTCCCCCTGGTGGAAGATCAGTGTGTAACTACAAAGTGCATATTTTGAAGTCACTTTCCATCCAGTTGATTTAATCCATAATCACGCTAAGCCCCTCCCCCGATTTCATCCTCATTACTAAAAAAAAAAGACATGGACGTCATGTGACCTGTCAGCAGAGTGACCAATGAGATGATGACGCACAGCAGAGTAGACCACCAACCACGAGCTGACTGAGGAGAGGGCGGAGCTTCTCAAAATGTTTTATTTATTTTCATTCTTAAGATTTGAGTCAAATTTGTTCAGTTTATCTTAAGGTTAGCTTTTCAGTTAGCTTAACTGAGCTACACCTAGCACAGAGACAAATATTCCAGACTAGAGAGTTCCAATACAGGAACTGCTAGGTTCTGCTACTGGTACTGATGGACCTGTTTTCAGAGGAACTTCCCTGACTTTGGTATTTGGTGTTTTTTTTTTTGTCGTGCTCAACATTTCTAGAATCCTTGATTCCAGTCCAATTTCTGTGACTTGAACTTACAGAGGATTTACCTATAGATGCTCCGTCCCCCCCTCCTCTGAAGGTGGCAGCCTTGCCCCAACACTCTCCCCTTCCCAAAAGCCCACCCACACAGTCCCACCCTCAAACCTCCCCGACTCCGCCCCCCCCGTCTCAGTGGTTCCAGTGGCACCGCTCTACATCGCCTGGGCGTCGTAGTTAGCTCCGCCCGCCTTCCTCAGCTCCTCCCTGATGTAGTCCTCGTCCAGCTCCTTGGGGTCACTGATGACGATCTCTTTAGCAAAGTTCTGCAGGAACAAGAACAGGTGATGGGAGAGATGAGGAACATGGAGCTGGTCGGAGGAAAACACTGAGAACTTCTTTTATCAACACACAGAGTTAGCGGTGCGGCTACATGTCGAGCACAAATTCCCTCCATCCTCTGGGGGCAGTAGAGTACATCCACATCTGGTGTTTCAGCTGACCAGTTTTTTTTTATATCTCTGGACTAAATCTTTTCCTCTGAGCTCAGACTCTGACCTGCACGATGTCTTTGACCAGCGACTTGTCGGTGCTGATCTTGGCGCGCTGCAGTCCACTGATACTGTCTCCGATCCAGGTGATGAGCGTGAACTTGGCCCGTTTGCTCATGGCGTCTCCTGTTGTGAATCTGAGGAAGCAGAACAGACGAGCGTCGTCTGGAGGAAGAGAGGAAAAAGAAAAGGTCAGGGCCAAAGGTCAAAGGGGAACAGAGTCAGTTTCTTACCTGAACTGTCGCTAACATAGATTAGCCGATAATCACCTTAATGACTGATGTATGTATTATTGTAACTGTAACTCAAAGATAGCCTATCAAAAGCTAGTTGTTAGCCATAAATAATATCAGACATCAAAGGACAGGAATGAAGAGCTCTTTGTGTGTGACGTGAAGGAATTCAGGTCAAAGGACCACACACACACACACACCTCTCACTGTTACTGTCGTCCACTGAAAAACCGACACCTAAACATCAGGAACAACGTCGGCAACATTGTTTGATGAGCTTTGAACCAATGACAGTCTTACTACAGATCAACACAGTCATAAGAATATCAGGTGACAGACGGATGTGTCTGAGCTGCAGCAGCAGCAGCAGCAGCAGCAACTGTTGCAGACCTTCAGGTGACAGACGGATGTGTCTGAGCTGCTATCTCAGACCAAAGTCCATAGAGAAAATCGGTGATTTCAGCTCACAGACTCAGCAGTTGTTAATTCACTGCTGCCCCCGTGACTAAGTTCAAATGTGTGGTTTTGTGAAATCCTTTGCTCAGATTGACCACAGTGACACAAACTGACCACAGGGGGCAGTGGTCGGCCAGCCGCAGCAGCTGTGTCTTTACTGGCTAAAAAGGATGTTTTTTCTATGTGGTTTGGTACAGATGGAGAAAACACGTTTTTTCATGCACTCCATCAGAGCAGCTTGATCTTCTGTCATGTCTCTGTGGTTAAATACGTTTACATTCAAACAGGAGCTGCTGCAGTCAGTCTTATCATTGATAACACACACACACACACAACAATTTAAAGATAGTTAAAATTAAATATTCATACACCAAGGACAGACTTCCTGTTAAGGCAGAGAGCCAATCAGCATCAGCCCCGCCCACATTACTATTACAACACTAAATAAGGAGAACACAGTGGTGGATGTGTGTGTGTGTGTGTGTGTGTGTGTGTGTGTGTGTAAAGAGGAACTGTTGTGAGGCACTGGCAGTAGAAAAGTGATCAGTGCCTTTTTTTCCACAGAGAAACGTGAGCTTCTCCAGTGCAGCCCTCGGGGGGTGAACTTCAGGAGGAGACACACCCAACAGCTGAGCTGATGTTCTACACCGCAGGACCAGGAACACTACACACAAACACACCTTTGGTACTGTTTCCTTACCTGTGCACATCTTCTTGAAATCCTCGAAGTCGGTACCTTGACCCGCAGGAACAATCATGGTGCCCTCATATTTAAAGACCGCCCTGAAGAAGAAGAAGAAGAAAACCTTTGATTTGATTCCCACCAGGACCATATTCAGATTTCAGAAGAAATCTTATCATGCACAGAAATCAGTACCAGGAAATATGTGTACTGTGAACTACAACCTTTTATATACCATATACTCCTACCCCGGTACCAGTGACAGTGGGCAACAGCAAGAACTATTTTGAGAGAAGAGAACTTTAAACCCTATGACAGTACCAGGCACCACAAACAGTTACAGGAACCTCCACCTTTTCCACTGCATTACCAAGCATTAAAAACAGTACCGGACACTTCATACAGGTGAAATGTAACAACCAGTACTAGGAACCATTGATATATAGGAACCACTGACATAAGATCAGGAGACGTAAAGTGTCTCCATTACATCCCCACAGCAAGAAAGAGTTCCAGGAACGATGTAGATTTAATGTGACACATTACAACAACAGCATGTGCGGGAATTATTTTATTTTGAAAATATTTTAAGCTCGTCCACTGGTGACAACATCCTGTCTAAATCCGCACCTCAGTCTGTTTTACACGTATAAAAAAATGGAACAAACGCAACATAAAAACGTAACAATTATCAAGATGTGTGACGTAAACGCGTTTCCTGTGAAATCTGCTGCAGCAGCGTGACAGTGCGTGGAAATGACACACACAAATAGTCGCCCTTTGCGTGCGTGTGTGTGTGGAAACCAGGACAAAGGAAATTTCTTCTGCATCGCTGTGCCTCAAAAAAATCAACACGCACATCACCCTAATCCTAACCCCCAGTGTCAGTGCAGGACTAAATCCAATGTAGCTAGTTGAACCTGGTTGGAAAAACGATTCATTTAATTTTGCTTCGTGAGCCGAACTCAGTTCACGGGGTGTAAATAACTTTAACTAGAGGAAATACATTTAATAATTAATATTCTCATGTTCGGCGTATATACTGACAGTAAAAACTCCTTACATTTTAACAAAACGTCTACTTTTACAAATGCACTTCCTATTTCCGCATCTTTAACCGCTGACTGCGTAGCGACAGTAGAAGGGCGGCACCGGCCCGTGTTGCCAGGTTGGGTGACTTTCCGGAAGATACGAAAAAGAAAATAGGTACTAAGCGCCAATTAATTGTCATAAAGACGTAGGTTTAAATTGTATTCTTTCTGAGTGCACATCTTAAGTACAAATCAATAGTTTTATTAATTACTTTGTAGTCAAGAGGTATTTAGTTATACACGGTAAAATGCGCAGTTAAATATGTTTATAAAATGTCTATACACTAGCCTATACCTCTTTAAACCGAAAACATATTATACAATTTTCGTTGTGGTGAACGTTTGTAAGAAGACGTGTGGATCCCTGGATCATCCTCATAAATCTGGCAACACTGGTTAAAAAGCTGCGATTTATACTAAATATGTGCAAAAAATGTGAAATTAATTCAGCCCGTTTATGCCGAAGTAAAAAATAAGCAGTTTCGGTTCGTTATATGGTACCGTTTTTATTCAGCGTACATGTGAACGTTGTCTGTGAAAACAAACCCGTAAAAACGGACAGATTCTCTGCAGGGTCTGGACACGGCAGTGAACTCACCAGTTTGTTTCTGTGTTGTCGTCCCTTACGTCGTTGTAAGCTTCTCTAACAGCTTCTTTGTCGATTTGGGTTGCCATGTCGGACTATATTAAAGTAAACAGTTTTTTTTCATAAAATAAATCAATGGAAATAAATAAATCGACCAGGAACCACCACGGCTCTGACCCTAGCAGCTATAGGTGATGCTGAGCATCAGAGGAGACAACAGGCTTCCGTGTGTGTGGAGCAGCAGGAGCAGGAGGAGCAGGAGGAACAGCGGTGGTGAAAGAACCGGACAGAGTCAGAGGGACCAGGCGGCTGCTGAAGTTCCGATAATTTCCGGAATTTATTTTCTCCAAATGGGCGGTAGTGAAGCAAGGGAGAGAGAGATTAGAAACACAACGAGAAACAAAGAGAGAGATGGAGGGAGGGAGGGGAGAGACTGTCAATGCCACGAAAACAGACACAAATAACTTCCGGTGTAGATTTCAACATTCAGGGTTTATTCGTCAGGTGTCGCTGCAGTGTCGCGTTAACCCGAGACACTCAGTGAACTGTGGGCATTAACACTTGAACAGGTGACCAGGTAGATTAAATACACTGGGATCTAAACCAGACACCACGGGACGTATTTAAGTTGCATCTTTCTTCTACTTCTCACCCATCCCTGGCGTGTTCTCTCCTTCCATTTTCGCTTCCTTTCACTTCCTTTTTCCAATATTCGACATTTCTTAGAAAACTCCTCGGCTCCTATCTAGGAGTCCATTGTATTTTTTAAAAGTACTGGTTTATTGAAGTGGTTTATTTTGATGATAAAACAGCTGCGCTGTGAAGCCGAACGAGGGAGATGCAAATTAACAGTAAAAATAATAATTTTTGTTCCGTTTTTTTTAAATAGGCAGTCACACACAAATATATCAAACACTGCGTTTATGTGGCAGCAAATATAAAACAAGTTGTAGAGGCTAAACATAAACTCGGTACAGACGACATCTTTGTTTAAAGAAGTTGGGGATAAGGGAGGAGGTCAAAGGTCCGACTTGTCAGGAGCCATCTTTGCAGTTGTTGTATAACACTGCCACCTGCTGGGTGACATAGAAACAACAGCTTTAGGTTAAGTGTTGACATATTTAATGACAAGCCGTGAAATAAAAGTGATTCTCCAAGAAAAAAAAAGACCAATGATTATCGAACAACGTTAAACGAACAGTTCAAACGATATAGAAATTCGATTAAATAAATACGTAATATCTGGATATTAGTCCCAATACTCAATGTTCACGGTCCAACATCAAAGTTTGGTTCCATTTCCAGTATTTTAACGTATTAACGAACACCTTTGTTTGGAAATATTGATGCAATGACTTATTGTGAAAAACCCAAACCGGAAAACATCTTGTTTACACAGGAACAGGAAGTTGACTGTGCTGCACTGAAATGAAGGCGACAACAGAGGCTTTTATGTCTCCAGTGACTTTCATTTTGTCTGTTTGCGATGAAAGGATTGCAGGCAGTGTTTTTGTTCGTGTTGCTGTGATGAAACGTCTGAAATTATTTTGCTCTGCTGCTAAAAGAAAGATGGTAAGGATGCCGTAAACGTGTTGTGACGTCTGCAGTAAGGTTTGAGGTCAAATAGAGAAGTGGAGACATTTTCTAAAATCGTATTTGATGTCGACGTCTGCAGTAAGGTTTGAGGTCAAATTCTAAAATCTAAAATCGTATTTGATGACGCTGTTTACTGTCAGCGACAGGAAGCCGAAGTTTCAAAAGCACTCAGACTCTCACACCAAATGTCAGTGAGAAAACATGTAATTTTATCTCACGGAGAGCTAGAGCTGCTGGCCCGACTGCTGCCTCCTGTGGTCAGGTTGTGTAAAACAAATACTGTGTCACAAAGCTCCGTAACTGTTGTGTTTGTTGGTGGAGTTTTATGAAGTACAAACTATAATAAAGCCTCAATTAAATAAATACATACATTATTGACCTGTGTGTTTTGTCGTCTACAGTTCTGACAAAATGGAGAGCGGCAAACAGAACCGTGAGTGGCCTCAGTGGATCTGCCAATCAAAGGTTTGTCTGTGTGTCTGTGGAGAACATTGATCAGTGACAACATGGACCTGCAGCGCCACCTTCACTTTATGCCCTTTTGTCAGCAGGTGTTTAAAAGTCCGGACCAAGCTGCCGATGTTCTGCGTGGTCTCAGTGAGCAGCGGTACCAGGACCAGTTTTGTGATGTGGTGCTGGTGGTCCAGGACCAGCGTGTTCCTGCTCACCGCGCCCTGCTGGCCACCTGCAGTCAGTACTTCCAGGCCATGTTTACACTGGGCATGAAGGAGGAGCGACAGCAGGTGGTACGAAAACAAACAGTGAAACAAATCCAAACCAATGCCCGTGTTTTTAGCTCAGTGCATGTTTAGTTGAACACAGCACTGATATTCCCACAGGAATTGAAAAAAGACTGAGTATTTTTGAGTCAACAAAATATTTGCACACCTGATGATCTAACGACACACTACTGACCACAGGAGCCGCTGCCTCTTGTGGTCAATATGTGTCACTGTTCGAGGGGCTTTAAAGTGTTACTGTCGACCCCCTCCCCACCATGTGTGCAAGTGTGCAGTTAGCTGTGCAATTAGCTGTATTTAAGACCACCACCAACAAACAATTGTTAGCGACACTTCTCTGCTCATACACCAGGTGGAGCTGGTTGGAATGTCCTACCTGGGTTTGAAGGCTGTGGTGGACTTCCTGTACAGCGGTGAACTTCCACTGGACGGAGGAAACATTGACAACGTCCTTGAAGCTGCTCACCACCTGCAGGTATAAAGAAAGCCTCGTATTAGCACCCCCTGTTGGCTCGCTAAGTACAGCGTCTGATGTAACCGGTACAGGTTTGGCGAGCGGTGGATTTCTGCTGCGAGTACATGGAGAAGGACTTGAACGAGGATAACTTCCTGTACCTGCAGGAACTGGCGCTGCTCTACAGTCTGGAGCGTCTGGACGCCTTCATCGACAGGTTCATCCTGGAACACTTCTCCACCCTCTCCTCCACCATAGAGTTCCTGGACAACGTCTCTGTCCACAAGCTGTCCTCCTACCTGTGCAGTGATCAGGTGAGAAATACTGACAGTGGGATTCAACCTCACAACCTTTCATTATTTTTGTTCAAATCTGTAAAATCATTTTTGTAAGCGAACGTTTGGAACTTTGGGGAAATGATGATTTGTCGTCTCCATCAGGTGCAGCACCAAGGAGAGCAGATGCTCCTAAAGGTGGCGCTGCAGTGGCTCAACCAGACCCCAGAGAGAAGCGTCCACGCCCGACTGCTGCTCTCCCACATCCACTTCCCCCTGATGGAGCCGGTGGAGCTGGTGGACCTGGTGCTGCCGGCGCTCCGGTCTCTGCCGCTGACGGAGGAGTCCGACTGCCAGGACCTGGTGGAGGAGGCGCTGGAGTACCGCTCCAGGCCCAGCGCTCAGCCGCTGCTGCAGACGGAGAGGAGCAGGCTGAGAGGAGGAGAGGAGCAGCTGCTGCTGTTTGGAGGAGAGGTAGGGTGAGGAGGAGGAGGAGGAGGAGGAGCACTGGTTTCTCCCTCTCCCGCTGACCTTCATCAGCTGACCTTCATCAGCTGACCTTCATCAGCTGACCTTCTGTTTTCTGCAGGTTTCTGAAGCAGCCAGTGAGGAGCTGACGGCTCACGTTGGACGTCTGGACGCCGAAACAGGAAGTTGGGTGGCGGAGACGGAGCTGCCGGTCCGACATAGCCACCACTGCGTGGCCGTCCTGGGGGGGTTTGTCTTTGTGGCGGGAGGCAGTTTGAGCAGAGACAACAGTGAAGACTCCATCTCCAACCTGCTGTACAGATACGACCCCCGACACAAACACTGGACCAAGGTACGGGACGGGGGAGTGAGAGGGGACTGGGGGGGAGTGAAGGAGGGAGGAGGAAAAGAGGGTTGGACTTCTGTGTCCTCCAGTTTGACCATGTTTGTCTCCTGGCCCCAGTGCTGTCCCATGAACCAGAAGAGAGTGGACTTTTACCTGGGGTCAGTGGGTCAGCGTCTGATAGCCGTGGGAGGCAGGAACGACTCCCCCCTGTCCTCCGTGGAGGTCTACTGTCCTGCTGACGACAGCTGGTCCTACGTGGCGCCGCTGCCCAGGTCTGTCCTCAGAGAGTTCGTCCCTGTCCCACACACACACCCGTCTCACCCAGCTGTCCTTCTCCAGGTTCACCTACAGCCACGCGGGGACGGTCCACGACGGTCTGGTCTACGTCTCCGGAGGACACGACTACCAGATCGGCCCGTACTGCAAGGACCTGCTGAGCTACGACGTGTCCAAGGACGGCGAGTCTTGGGTGGAACGTCAGCCCATGTCGGTGCCTCGGGGCTGGCACTGCATGGCCTCGCTGCACCACCTCATCTACGCCATCGGAGGCAGCAACGACCACGAGGACACGGCCGAGCGCTACGACATCCTGCAGGTGGAGTCTTACGACCCGCGCCATGACCAGTGGACGCAGGTATCGTCACGGCTGCCGCTGCCCAATAGCGAGGCGGCTGTGGCAGTGTGGGCGGGGAAGATCTACGTGCTGGGGGGCTACAGCTGGGAGGAGATGGTGTTCTACAGAAGTACGCAGATCTACGACCCCCACAGAGGCTCCTGGTCCAGAGGACCAGACTTACCCAGGAACACAGGTGGAGCAGCGGCGTGCGTTTGCACCGCCAGGACCTCGACGTCACCACACAAGAAGAAGGGACAGAGAAACACAGAACAGTCCGATCCTACGTAACCACGGAGTCGCTAACGTTTTCTTACAGTGAAATTAAAGTTTATTTAAAAATGTTACAGTAAAGAGAAACAGTTCTAGAACCGACTTCACTGGTGACGGTGTTAAAGGGATATTGCAAGTTTTAATGTGTATGTCATCAAAATAAAATATCTGCTGCCTCCTGTGGCCACTTTGTGAATTGACTCATCAGTAGCACACACCTTAGTGACTGCAGCAGTGGGTTCTGCAGAACAGATCATCTTCTAACCACTAGGTGGCAGAACAGGATGTTTCTGTCTGTGTGGTTGTGAGCTAAAATCGTTGATTTTCTCTATGGACCTTTATATGGAGGACAGAGTGACTGACTGTCAGTGAGAAAAACCTGAATTGTCCCTTTAAGTCACTGTTTCCTGTCTGCCTCTGGAGAACGGATTCAACTCAGTTCTCAGGACTCTCCTGTCGTCTCTGTCTCCACACACTCACTCAAACGGGTAGTAGGGGTGAGACTGAAGTCTGGGGGAGACAAAAACAGTTTTATTAAATCAATAAGCGCTCTGATGTTCCAGATGTTTGTGCAGTAGGTGGCGCTGCTGCGTCCACTTACTCTGTGAGCCTGAAGGCTCTCCAGCCGCGGTCCAGTCTCCTCAGAGCGTTCATGTCGTTCTCACCCAGACTGAAGTCGAAGACCTGAGAACAGGAGGAGAGTCAGTGACGAGCCAACAACCACCACCGGGGGCAGCACGTCGCTCACCTTCGTGTTTTCAAGGATGTGGTGAGATTTTTCACTCTTCGGAATGACGGAGATTCCCCGCTGGATGTGGAACCTCAGCAGAACCTGTGGGATTAACCAGCCAGGTTGCAGACCGATTAGATTGGGATTACAGACAGATTAGACAGAGATTACAGACAGATTAGAGTGGGATTACAGACAGACAGAGATTACAGTGATTACCTGTGCAGGGCTGCGTCTGTGTTTTCTGGCCGTTTCCATGACAACTGGATCTTCCAGGAGTTTGTGTGGATCAGTTTCTCCATTCAGACTTAAAGACAGGTTACGTGTGTGTGAGTGTGTGTGAGTGTGTGTGAATGTGTGGGTGTGTGTGTGAATGTGTGCGTGTGAGTGTGTGTGTGTCCTCACAGATCTGAAGGTCGTGCAGGTGAACCAAATGGACTGTAGGCCGTCAGCCTGATGTTCCTGGACCTACAAAAGTCCAGCAGCTCCGTCTGCAGCAGATAGGGATGGAGCTCCACCTGCAGGACGATGAGAGAAGTCAGTGTAGAGATCAGTGAAGGTCCAGGAAGTCCTTGACAAACTTTAAAAGTCCTGAGGGCAGAGCCTAAATCACAGGTGAGAAAACATTTTCAGCTAGCGTGTAGCTAACACCACCTTAAAGGAACAGTTCAGAACTTAGTTCTTCTTCGAGAAAAGTCCAGCTCTTTAACTAGAACTCAATCTAACTACAGAACTTTTTAGAACTATTCCATTGACTCTTATCTCTGTGTCAGTGTGTGCTGCACCTGATTGACAGCAGGGGGCACTCTGCACAGAGTCAGGAGTCTCTCCAGCTGCAGGACATTGAAGTTGGACACACCGATGCTCCGCACCTTCCCTGAAGCCTGGAGGACTTCCATACCCTGAAAAGTACAGAGCGGCAGTGAACGCACCACCAACACACACACAGAGAGAGGTCAGAGGTCACAGGTGGTCTCACCCTCCACACGTCCACGTAGTCCACATCAGAGGTCAGCACCTGTCCATCCTTCTTTGGAAAAAGCTCGTCCCCGACTTTCTGCAGGGAGATTTGAAGATTGAAGTCTGTCTTCAGACCCTGGTCAGGTCTTCAGACCCTGGTCAGTCTTCAGACCCCTTTCTGCAGGGAGATTTGAAAATTGAAGTCTGTCTTCAGACCCTGGTCAGGTCTTCAGACCCTGGTCAGGAGTTTAGCTCCTGGACCCAGAGCTCTGGACAGACTGGTTGTATTTTTCCAATCAGGTCTTTTCTCAAAATGAAAGACCTCTCACACTGATAATTAATGTAATGAATCTTTGTTACTGCAGCTCGGTACCAAACGACCCACAGGTCGGAGACCTGGTCTGACCTTCAGTCCAACAGGGAAGTGGACCAGGTAAAGGTCCAGGTAGTCCAGCTGGAGGTTCTGGAGGGTGTGGTCCAGACAGACGGCGATGTCCTCGGTGGCGTGGTGAGTCAACCAGAGCTGAGGAAGAACGAAGAGTGACCGGAACTGTTTCATGGATCAACATCTAGACACAGAGGCAGAGACTCCTGTCCACACCTTACTGACGACGAACATGTCCTCCCGTCGGATGACGCCCTGCTGGATCTTGGAGCGCAGAGCTCTGCCGACGTCCACCTCGTTGTTGTAGCTGAAGGCCGTGTCGATGTGACGATAGCCCGCAGCGATGGCCGCCTCCACCGCGCCCTGCACTGGGGTTCGAGGCAGACGGGACGACTGGAACGAGTTGTAGAACACGTTTTAGATGATGTGTGTGTTTCAAATGACGTGGTTCTAAGAAGAACCCAAATGTGTGTAGAAGTCATTGATAACTGTGCTGTGAGCACCCCCTAGAGCTGAGTCTGATCGGTTCTTTATTACATCGTTAGCTGCAACGTCCTTTAAAAAACAAACTCTCTCTCACACCAAAGTCCATAGAGAAAATCAGTGATTTAAGCTCAGACCAAAGTCCATTAGTGACATTAGCTGACAGAGACACAGGAGCTGCAGGTCCAGTGCTGCCTCCTGTGGTCAGTTTGTTGTTCGGTGACTTGAATGTTTTCTAGTTGTGTTTAAACTGGACAACAAATAGTGAAAAACAGTACCAGTCAGAAGACGTCAGCAGTGTGTGATTGACAGCTACCTTCCATGTCCCCAGACCCAGCATGGGCATGTGTGTGCCGTCGTTCAGCTCTAACGTCTTGGACACCTGTACGTCCTCCATGTCCACACGGCACGGTCAAAAGAAGAAGAAGAAGAAGAAGAAGCTGCAGCTTCAGCTTCCTCTTCTCTAACGCTGAGTTCACTTCCTGTCTCTCTGTCTGTGTCTCTGTCAGCTCTGCTGGTTAATTATTGGACAGAACTGACACACTTCAGACACACAGCAGGAGCAAAGGTCACATACACACACACACACACACACTGCTGCCTCCATCGCTCAATTCAAATATTGTCTTTTGTGACTTCATGTTGCCTTCCTTAGTGACCACAAGGGGGCAGCAGTGGACCAGTAGTCCCTGTGTCTCTGTGACTCAGAACTGAAGAAGTCTCTTGGATGAGACTTAAATTCAACTATTTAACTATTTTTGGATTAGAACCTGCACAGACACTGTACCTTGTAGTACCATCTTTGACCACCAGAGGTGTTTCTGTTATAAAGCTTTGATGCTCAGCGTTCTTGTTTTTGATTTTCAAAAAATGTGTAATTTGTACAAATGAACACATTCATGTTCATATTTGCTTTGACCGAATCTCACCCATTTTCTCACCCATTTTCTCACCCGTCATCTCTCATCACCTCCCCTTATTTCATCCTTTAGCTACTATTATGTTCTAACAACACAGTGTGTCACTAAATCACAGCCTTTGAGGATTCCCTTCTTACCCCTTGCCTCCCCCCACCCTCCCTTCCTCCCTCCCTCCTTTTTCCCGGTACTTTCTCTGTCCTTTCTACAGAACTGTTCTCAACTGACGGGGAACTAAAATCCCCCACCCTGTGAAACTGTATTTTTTTTTCTAAGGTTCTGGTTCTTATGTAAGTGACCACGTGACCACAGCTCACATATGGATTCTGCTCCTGGTGGTGGTGGTGGTGGTGGGGGGGGGCATTTCCAGTTGGCAGCGTGTCTCTTGACTCTTCACCGTCTCCTCCAGAACCCGTTCTTAATCCTGAAACAGCAGAAAAATGAAAGATTTTTGTTTTCATCCTGGTTTCCCTTTACTGCAGTGACCAGCACTTCTGATTGGTTGGACAGAGAACATATATTTGTAACAATTATATATTTGAAGCACAGGAACCACACTTTCATTTTTATTTTCTCTGAAGGACAACCTGTGTCTCAACAGCTTCTCAACTGGAACTGTTTTATTAACGCTGACAGACAAACAAAAAATTCATTCCCTTCTTAGCTGACAGACCAAACATTCTTAGTTTAGTTATTCTTCTTGCCTCAGGCAAAAACAGTCAGCTAACACAGCTTTTAATTAGCTTAGTTGAAGAAGTTCTATTAGCTTAGCCCTTTAGCGTGGGCATAGCTTGAGAATATCTAAGCTTCATATTTGTGGAACATTTCGGTGTAACGTTTGTTAGCTAACCTCACAGCTCTTTAACTTGGTTCTTACAGTAGCCTCGTGTTTATGGTCCATTGTCTCAAATTTATGGTCTGTATTCCTAGTTTGGGTGCATGTTAGTTTCAGATTAGTTTGACCTAGGTTAGCTAGCTTTGTTTGTCTTGAATGCTGGGTTTAAGAACATGCTAGTCTAGTTTATTACCTTAAGGCTTAGCTTTAGCCATAAAATAAAATAATAAAAAAATTATGCTAAAAACAGACCAAACTTGTTGAGCTAGCTTCACTGCCAAAACAAATGTGTTAGCATAAAATGGACACTGGTGAACTCACAGCTGGTCTTTACATGTGTTAGAGCCACAGTTCTGCTGGTCTACATGCCGCTGTGCTCCTGTCCTCCAGATGTCTGGACTGGTTGTAGACTTCTCCCCCACTCTCCCCCACTCTGGCCCACAACAAAGAGAAAATCTCTGGTTTTAACTCAGGGGGACACAGAAGCTTCTGGTCCTCTGCTGCCTCCTATGGTCAGTTTGTGTCACTGTGGTAAATCCGAACAAAGGATTTCAAACAGTGAAGTCACAAAAGCAGACATTTGGAAACAAACAAACAAACAAACAAACAAAAGATCCAGAACCATCCATTTTGAAAAAAACCCTTTATTTATGGTCTGACTATAAACTACGACAAACACATGTTTACATGTTTTTTTTTATCAATTAACAAACAAAATAAACTTCAGTTACTTCAAAAGGAGATTATTGATCTTTACAGTCAGGTCACTAATTTTAGGTAATTAAAGACTAATGTTGAGACGGCAGCATCTGATTGGCTGCTCAGGTCAGATGACAAAATGCTACACCAATTATATAAATACATAATAGGTTCATACACATGGTTTATATAAAATATAAATAATGTGTTTTTTAGTTTCTCCTGTAGAGCGCCACCTTCACTGGTCCAGGTCGTTGCCGTCGAGCCCCAGTGGCTGATAGTGGCCCTCACAGAACTCCCTGATCCGAGAACACGCCTCCACCATCATCTCCTCTGGAACTGTCAACACGATCCGGAAGAAGTTGGGATACTCGAAGGCCTGGGGGGGAGGAAAACAGAACAGATCAGTGCTGATGTCTCAGCGTCCTCTGTCCTCTCAGGTCAAAGGTCAAATGTCTCCAGTCTTATCGACCTGTCATTGACTAGAACCTGGTCAACTCTCTGACTGGTTCACCCAGAACCAGATGTTGATCCCAGTCTGGTCCCAGGTATTAAACCCTGTTGAGGCTCAGCTTCAGTGGGACATTTAATGGACAGGTTTTTTTTTAACTGCAGGGACTGGATGCTGATTGGATACAATGAAGGTGGTCTTCTGTGTGCTGATTGGCTGATGTGTTTAAGAAGCAGAACTTTACGTTTGTTATTCTAGTCACCGACAGAAGGAACACAGGGATGACTGAGACCCAGAGTGAAGTGGGCGTGGTCTTACCGAGGTGGGCAGACAGAAGACGGACTGCTCAGTGACCATCCGCTCAGTGAAGTCCACGTCATTCTGGAAATCTGGAAAGTGATCCATGTTGATGCCCACCTGAGAGGAGACGCCACGAGAAGAAAATCACTGGACAACCACAGGACAACAGGACAATAACAGGACAACAGGACAATAGGACAAAAACAGGACAACAGGACGGCCGTGTTGACGTTGAGTCGGCCTCTGAGAGACGACTGCTGTGCTGTAGGATCTGACTGCTCTGAACTGGACTAGACTGGACTCTATGGACTCCATGACTTGAGGCAACACGGTGTACCACTGACCATGAGGTACATGGCTCCTGAGGTTCTGACGGGTCTCAGTCCTGGGACAATGGACAGGCCACTGTAACAGATCTCTGCAGGACAAAGAGAGAAGAAGAAGAAGAAGAAGAAGAAAAGATGAACTCTGTGCAGGAGAAACAGCGCAGCCACCTGGTCACAGCACCACAGTTCTCTGACCTTCAGTAAGCTGATGGTGTTGTCATAGAAGCTCTGAGGTGTGTTGTTGAAGATGCCCTCTAGTGCTCCCTGCACAATACTGCAGCCTCCCAGAATCCTCTGGCTCAGTTTGACCAGTCCCTGTCGGATCTGAAGGTGACGTGGACAGAAGCAGATCAACACCTGACCGGGACAAATCTTTACTAAGACCTAGGATGTACGGAGACCAGATCCACCTACTGCAGGTCCAAACACATCGTTCCTGTCGTGGATCAGAACCCATCCCATCCTCCAACCAGGAACCAGCCAGCGTTTGGCCAAACCCCCACAGGACAGGATGGGGACGTCGCTGCTGAGAGAGGCCATGGAGGGACACTCACAGCCAGGTAAGACCTGGAGACACGGTCAGGAGCAACTAGATGGTCAAGTCATGAAGCAGACCAATACAAATCACTGCTCCTCTGTGGTCAGTTTCTGGTTGATGGTCCGATATCTTCAGAACTTGGTGTCACTAAAGTTTTCAAACCATCGATCTCTGACACCAACGTCCAACACCATTGATTTTAGCTCAGCGCCACATGAGCAGCTGGTGCCTCCTGTGGTCACTTGGTGCCACTGAGGCAAATCTGAACAAAGAATTGTGAAGAAAATCCCACACTTGCTGAGCTAAAATCGCTGGTTTTCTCTCTGAGGTTTGGTGTGGGAGAGTTAACATGTTCCACTAAAGCAAACCAAAAAAGAGAGAGAGTAATGTTACAGGCACCTCGCTCCCCCCTCAGAAATCTGCTTCTCATTAAACCAGAACAGAATCTTGGACCAGAACAGACAGAACAGACAGAACAGACACCACAGACACCACAGACACGTCCCCCTGAGCTGGACTCTGGTTCAGAACGGGTGAAGTGATTTACAGCTTCATGCGTCATTGACTTTGGCCTGTTTTCTCACATTTCATCCTTTCAGTCCTGCTGAGTCTGACACACACACACACACACACACACACACACACACACACACACACACACACACACCAGTCCTGGTACATTGGGGGGATCATATCAACAATAAGATATTTTCATTTTATTACCACCGGAGGTATTTAAATTTCATTGTGTCATGATTAATTAGGAACATTAATATGAAAAGTTCTAAATAAAAAGTACTGGTTCTGAGACCAGTTCACTGTGGCAGAACTCATATTCCCTTTTTTTTGGTTCACCCCAAAAAGTTCTGGGGGTTTGGTACACACACAGACACCATGGCCTCCCACAGAGGTCATGGTCTCACCCCCTCCTCCCCAACACACACACACACACACACACACACACA